AGTCAACTGCCTCCCCGCTCCCCTGCCCTCTACCTAAACCCTACTAATCCTTCAGAAAAGCTCAGGACCCATCTTTTGCCTTCTTGGAGCCTTCACAAACTAACTTGTAACAGCACTCTTTCTCCTCTGAACTCTGTCTTTAGAGTTCAATCACATCACTGCATCTAAAACGTTGGCAACCTTCTGCATACTGGAATTCCCTCTATACCTCATCTTAGGTCCAGTGAATCCAGAAGCCCACACAATCAACAGTTTGCCAAACCTAACCCAATGCCCCCTTTCCCTTCAGGTAGAAGAGCCCTGACTACGAGAGCCCAATACCAGGGAGAATGGCAGGAATGAACCCAGGGTCACCTCAGAAGCCTGCTGTGGCTCGGCTTCCCACGCTCGTTATGTGGTGGTGTGCACGTGTCTTGTTTTATTTTGTTTTCCTTTTGTGGGGGAGGGGAACAAAGCCTGAGGGAGAAGGAATTCATAACTGACTGTTGGTTGGCTTCATTCCAATCATTTTCTTTTCTGCTGGTGACAGCTGTTTTCTCTTCTGATTTAGAAGGTTTGGAATACACCCCTCCCCACGACGCCTCCCCCTGAGCTCAGCCACACACTCAGATCCAATAGCAGGCTCCTGGTATGATGACTACAGAACATACATAGGAGGAAAGTTTGCAAGGCACAGTGGGCTGTCTGCCAGCGTTGCCTCACCTGTTTGACTCCTGGGCTGAGTGTAAAACAAAGATATAAGTTATTAGGGCAGGTGCAAGGCTCAGGGTGGTGCTCAGTTCAGAGGTTTCCAGTGGAGATTAACCCAATCACTTAAGTCTCCCATACAGAGTGACTAAACACAATTTCCCACCTACTTCTTCCTTCATAAACTATTTCTATTTAATAGCTCCTGAAATCCCATCTCCATTGGGAAGCTTCCTAGAATGAAAGGATCAGCAACCACTCTGGCTTCCCTAGTACCATACTGTAGACCAATTTATGTGACAGAAATCTTGCTGAAAGCTCTGTTTGATTATCCCCAGCTTTCGACAGTCTTAACAGGATACACACTGTACCTACATTACAAATAAGAAAAACGAGGGCTCAGAGCAGTTATATACCTTGATTAAGGTCACGTATATCGTTAAGTGGCTAAGATAGAATTCAAAACCAGACCCATCTCTCTCTCTCTCTCTTTTTTTTTTTTTCCCAGACCCATCCCTGAACCTTGCCCTTGTCTACTACTCCAAACTGCCTTCCATGGAATCAGAATGCCCACAGACTTGCCCGATTTTTGCAACCCAGGGGGACTCTGGACACATGGTAAGTTAATGCTAATACTTTACACTACCCGGAGGTCTCAGCCTTCTCCCTTTGCCTTATCTTCTGGAAGGCCCGAGCCCCCTGGTCTGTCAGTATGTGACTCAGAGAGCAGCAGGAGAGGGTGATGTGCCTGTGGGATGCATGGCACCAGTGGTGCCACTGAGTACCTAGAGAGAGGCTTGTTGAAACCACAGGGGAAGCCAAGTGCCAGGCACTCACCTGAGTCAATCCACCAATTTCCTTCACAGACACATAGAGGCGGTACAGGTCCAGAGGTTTCCTACCCACAGCAGGCAGATTTGTCATGCCCATGGCCTTCTCCTCCGTGAAGGCCAGATAACGGTCCACCCACATCTTCCTCTCAGGCTCACCACCCAGCTCATACAACTTGGTGATCTTCTCATTGGTTGTAGTAGAAGAACTGGATTTCTGAAAGGGGCAGGTCAAGATTCTCAGGAACTGGTCAGATTCAAAGCCTATGCTAGGGCTCTTAGAAATCCCTTGATTAGGGCAGTGGTAAAGCTTCTCATTCTGGGGTGGTCACTAACATCTGCACTGCCTTCACAAAAACCAAAAGGGAGCTAGACGTTCCTGTAAGGAAAGAAAGCTAACACTGTCTGTGTGTTATGTATTGAGTGCTGTGCTAGAGGCCTTTACATATTAGGTATTATAAATTATCCTTCTCTTAAAAGATAAGGTAGCAGGCACAAGGAGGCCATGCCTAAGATCTCATAGCTTTTAAGTAGCAGGACTGAGAGTCAAACCCTTGTCCACCTGACATCAATGTCACTACTCCCATACTACTACCCAGGAGCCTGGACACACTTTTACAGTCTGTTTCAGAGAACTCAAGAAACACAAAACATGACCTTGAGACAACTGACTAAAATGAAAGCGAACTCTTCCTCCTCTCAAGAAAGGAAGGGTCCTGCTTGAATGGCTTTGGATATCCTATCCAAGACATGAGGATGACTAAAAGGGTCTGGAAGCCAGAGGTGAACGTCCACAAGAGGTGGCAGTTATGATTTTTATTTCCCCTACTTTATAAGATAGGGAAAATGAGGTATGACAAAGGGCCGAAATATTTTAAATGACTTAAATACTGAGCAGGTCCCCAAAATGCCACACAGCCCAACCAATAGCACACTCAGGACCAATCTAAGAGAGGCCAAGGACCCAAAACCCCACCTGCCTCGTCTCCCACTTTATAGAACGTAGGGCACCAACCATTGCTGCTGTTCTGAGTAAGGTCCAGGAAGAAAAGAACTAGTCCCCCATGGCATACACCATCTATCAATGCATAAGGACAGGGGTCAGAGTTTCAGAGAGAGCAGTGCAGAGAATTCTGCTCTGCAGGTCTGGCATTTCCTCCATATCAGACAGCTGTGAGAACATGCTATTTACGTTAGGACCCCTTAGGCTAACTCAAACCCAATTCAGTGAACTATTATCCTGGGACCCTTCATGGTAAGAAGAGGCGACAGCACCCTTTTCCGAGATTATCTAGTTGGTGTCATAAAAGGCTGGAATCTAATCACCCACTCTTCTTTTTTCCTTCCTACCACTGAAAGGATGGGACAGAAAGTTGAGGGGTCAAGATATAAATCATTACCTTGGATTTAGATTCTGTCTTGGGTGTCCCGTCTGCCTTGTTGTTCATTTTGGTGGCTGGAGTTAACTTGACATCCCCAAGACCCATCATCTCTGGGCTGGCTGCCATCCCTATAAAATAGAAAAAAGTCCAATAGGTTTGTGACATGAAGATCACTTTGGAAGAAATCCCTGGGGTGAACAATGACTAGGACTTACCTGCTGAATTGTTAGCCATGGTTCCACCCATGGGATATGGGGGCCCCTGAGGGTTGATCATGCCAGCCATACTATTAATCCCTTGTCCATAGGGAGGTCCAGTTCCCATTATGCCCCCTTGATTCATATTGGGGTAGCCTGGTGGCCTGAGGAAGAAGATGCAAAGTGTGAGAGAGAGACAAGAGCTAGAGACACTAAGCTTTCAGATTTGGACTTCAGCTAAATAGGGCTGTGTGAGCCAAGTTAGGCTTACAAGGAAAAAGTTTATGGCTCCCGCAAACCACAACCATGCACAGAGATATTCTTATCTTCTACCACCCACAAACGGTTCTAAGAGGGTGCAAGCTCCCAAAAGGAGATCATAGCTCAATTTTAAAGGATATACTCCTTGAAGAATGGAGTCTTACGGTGTCTCTTAAATACTGCCTCCTTTTAAGGCATCTCCAAAGTCAAGCTGTGTTTCCATTTAAGGGCCCTCACTATGGCAAAAGGCCTAGATTAAATGCTCAATTTTATTACTCTAGCATGGCACCTGGAGGGGCTTTGCATTCTTTTTATTTTATTTTTAAAATTATACTTCAAAAAATCCTTATTTACTTATTTTTTGGCCGTGTTGCATGGCTTTGCAGGATCTCAGTTCCCTGACCAGGGACTGAACCACGGCCATGGCAGTGAAAGCCCAGAATCCTAAACACCACCAGGGAACCAAATCCACCTCTTTATAGTCAATCACCCTATTCTACTGTGGTTCATCAGCATCCCAGTAAGAGTCACTTTAAGAACTGTAGGCACCAACAATGGGGTACACAGACAGAGTCTTCAAAACCAGCAGAATCGTAGTCACTGAAGTCAGTGGCCAAGGACGAAGAGATGAATCTTGAAGTCATTAAACCAAATCACATGAGCCTTCTACACTTTTGCACCAGAGTCAAATACACAGGACCACACAGAAGAGTAGGAGAAATGGCAAACCACAACCTCACCACCCTCCATTTCTTACATCGTAGATCCAAATCATGTGAATCATTAAAAATCCTTTTGGAGGGCTTCCCTGGTGGCACAGTGGTTAAGAATCCGCCTGCCAGTGCAGGGGGCAGAGGTTCGAGCCCTGGTCCGGGAAGATCCCACATGCTGTGGGGCAACTAAGCCCGTGCACCACAACTACTGAGCCTGCACTCTAGAGCCTGCAAGCCACAACTACTGAGCCCACGTGCCAGAACTACTGAAGCCCGCGCGCCACAACTACTGAAGCCTGCGCGCCTAGAGCCCGTGCTCCACAACAAGAGAAGCCACCACAATGAGAAGCCTGGGCACCGCAATGAAGAGTAGCCCCTATTTGTCGCAAATAGAGAAAGCCTGCATGCAGCAACAAAGACCCAACGCAGCCAAAAATAAATAAACAAATAAATAAAATTGCATTAAAAAAAAAAAATCCTTTTGGAAACCAAGAAGCTAGACTGGCAGAAGAAATAAACTCTGAAGACTTATTTTACTAATCAAAATAATGTATACTTTATAAAGTTCTTTACATATGATAGCTGGTCATGTGACATTTGATACCAATCTAAGATGCTTACAAATCAGCATTCCTGCTATATTTTTCACTGTAAAGAAACCTGGTTTTCTAAAGAGCTCTCAATAAAATGCATATTTACCAAGATAACATGATTTAGGTCCAGAAGTATCTCAACAACCTAAATGACTCTACAATGAGTTTCCTAGCACTGATACCCTCCCCCCTCACTTCCCAGGCCTTACCTGTTCTGGATAGAGTTGGCAGCAACGTGCATGGCGACAGCAGTTTCTTGAGTTTTCCGGTTCATGCCCCCTGGTGGGGGACACATCCCTGACCCAACCTGAGGTGGCATATTGGCCATGTTAGGGCCATAAGGCCGGTTGCCCATGGAGGCATGACTCATTCTCCCTGGAGGGAGTGTGCCATAAGGTGGGATGCCAGGCTGCCCATGCATCTGACCTCCAGCACCCATAGGGTTCATGCTTCCAGCCATGCCTGCACTGGGGTAGTTAGCATTGGGCAAGGCATTATAGTTTGGCTGCCTGGGGTAGCCTCCTGGGAGGGGAAGGAGAGAAGATGCAGAGACTTGGTTAGTGACTCACTAGCAACTCACTAATAACACTCAACTCTAAAACTCCAAAGATAACAAACAATGGGAATCGTTCAATATTTGGTCTGGAAAGAGACCAATTTCATGGTCTCTTTAAACAACAACAACAAAACTTCATGATCCATTTAAAAACAAAAAAAGTGGTGGGGGGGAGTATTTAAAGGCAGGCCTCCGTCGTCCCCTTATCTTAAGGACAGCACAGCACAGAGCAAGGCTGTCTGGCAGGCAAGGCTGGCTATGCTGCTATCCAGGCCCTTCAACTCCCAGAATTCTTTCCTTTCTACATACTCATCTTCCATGCTCTGTTTAAGAAATTCAGCTTTAGATCCATCTAGGGCTGATTTTGAGCAAAGATCTACTCTAGTAGGACTAATTTACTCAAAAAAGTTTAATAACCAATAATTACCATTTACTAAGTGTCTGTGCTCAGTCTTGGGCTAAATACCCTATCCCCATTTTAGAGATGAAACAGAGGCTCAGAGATATTCAAGGACTTTCCCATGATGGCAGTCCTGCCCTACTTTAGGGCCTGGCCTTGGTGGACTTAAGGCAAAGGACAGTTCTACTCTAATAACCCAGAGAGCAGCATATCAAACAAGGAACTCTTTTCTCGTCTCACCTCCATGTACTCCTATGGTAGTATACTCACCCTGTGGGCCGTACTGACTTCCCTGGGGACCATAGCTCCCCATGGAGTTCTGCTGGTAGGAGCCCATTCCTGTGTGCATCTGTCCTCCAGAAGGCTGACGTGGAGATAAGGCCGACCCGGGCTGGGGGGAACTGTACTGGGGCATCTGGGGGTTCCTCTGCATGTAACCTATTTGTGGGTAGTGTCCATAAAGTTAGTACCTCAACACAATGGGAACAAATGCTCTCCCTTACCCTAGGACTTCACCATCTACGTTTTCTTTAGCAAATACTTGCACGGGGGCTCTTATTTGCTGTATAATTATGTGCTCTTTTAGGCACACTCAAAAGTGACACAGCCATTAACCAGGGCATGCCAACTGTTTCTACTAAATGGAGGTTTGAAAAAACAAACAGCAATGACCCCCCCTCTCCCCCCAAAAAGAGGTAGGATTTAAAGGGTAAAGATTCAATGCTGAGTATTTAGTATTTGCTGACCAAATTATAGGCACAATGTAGGGGGGAAATCCATCAAAACACATGACCAACAAAGAATGACTGTGGGGGAACATAATTCTGGAGACACCAAGATGGCCAAGCCCATCCTAACTTCACAACCTGCTGCTGAGATTGTCCTAAGCTTCATGGTCATATAGTTCTCCAAAAGCTGTTGCACAGATAATCAATCAAAGGTCTGCCTCTGCCCTGCTCCCCACTCCCTTGAAGCCCAGCCTCTCACCTCGATCTTGGGCAATGCTTGATTGGTTCATAGAAGGATGCATGATGCTGTCCGACTGGCCACTGGGTGGCCGGGGGGGCATCTGGTTGCCTGCTCCAGACAGAGAAAGAAGTAAGCCAATTATGGCTAATTGGAACTAGAATTCCAATTAGAATTCTGCTGCAACTAGAATTCCATAGCCTGGAAATTCTAGCCAGAAGGTCAAGTTAGAACTGGAAATGGCTTCTGAGAAGGCCAAGAACCTCCCAGTATCCCATTCACAAAAGGATCCAGCAAAGGGGCTCCCATCTCCCTTCCTTAAATGCTGAAGGGAAACTCTCTGCCAGTGGAAGGCTGGGGCTCCCTAATATTGCTGGGGGCCAGTCCTCTTTCCC